GAAGGAAGGATCCAAGTATTGGGAAGCACCAAACCCCTCATTTAACTGCTGAGGCCCCTTTTTGTCTCTTCCAAAGCCCCACCTCTCTATCCAATATGAAGTGTTGGAAGGTGCACAACTGGCTTTGGAAGACCTGAACGGAGCAGAAATCGGAGGATCGGTCCTCAAGGTAGGCTTATAGCTCCCCTTTAAATCCCAGGGTGGAGAGAGAATGCCAACCAGTGTTTACCAGCCTTTCGTCCTCCGTTTCGGTTTCCTGCGTCTTCAGGTTCAGAGGCCCATCACCGAGATGACCCTTGAGGTTGAGATGCTGTTGCAAGAGCTGGAAAGAGATCCCGAAAACGAAGCCACCCTTTACTTGGCCGGATTGAGGAAATGCCAAGAGGAGACGGAGCTGCGTGAACAGTTGGGCCCTTTGGAAGGTTTACAGTCTATTTTTTGGCCAAGAAATCTCCAGACCGGAAGACAAAAGAATTACTGCTTTCTGAGTAAGCGGGGCCATAAATAGATTCTCCAAAACAAGATTGCTGCATGAGATGACCTGCTGATTAAGAGTCTCTAAGTTCTTCCTTCTAGTTGTTCCCTTCCTCATTCTCTCTTTTGGCTCTTAAAAATCTTTCCCTTTGACATCCCTGGGGCACCCTCGCTCTTAGAGGCAACCCTCGATGCACACAATCCATTTTATGACCTTTTTGGGTTGGTCATAGTGAAGGGAAGGGAAGGGAAGGTGGGGAATAGATAGGGAAAGGAAGGGAAGGACGGAGGGAGGGAGGGAGGAAGGGAAGGAAGGAAGGAAGGAAGGAAGGAAGGAAGCAGAAGGGAAGGAAGGAGGGAGGAAAAGAAAAAAGAAAGGAAAGGTGAATGGATAAGGAAGGGGAGAAAGAAAGGAAGGAGGAAAGGGAAGAAGGAAAGGAAAGGAGGTGAATGGATAAGGGAGGAAGGAAGGAGAAGAAAGGAAGCAAGCAAGCAGAAGGGAAGGAGGGAGGGAGGAAAAGAAAAAAA